ACCCCAGGAGTGCCCGTTTAGCCTGGGCCGGGCCGCCTAGGTTCGGCATGAGTCGTCCGATGGCTTTGGCGGATTGAGTTGCTCTCTTCGACGCTGCCGCAATGTGGGCGGTGAATGAAAGTCGGGTGTCGAGCTCAACTCCCAGATATCTTATTGACGCCTTGACCGGGATGGCGTGTCCATCGACGTACAGCTCAGGCTTGGTGTATACGTACTTCCCGGTCAGGACGACGGCCTCCGACTTCTGGGGTGCAATGGACAAGCCGTTGTCGCGCATCCAGTTGCTCACGGTTTCCAGCGCCGGGTTCAGTAATGCAGCTGCGGACGGCCCGGTCCGGGATGTGCCGATGACGGCTACGTCGTCCGCGAAGGCGACGAGCTGCACTCCCGGTGGCATTTCGGTGTCGAGCAGGTCGTCGTAAAACAGGTTCCACAGAGACGGCCCGAGGACTGAGCCCTGTGGAACTCCGCAGGTCGTGCTCCGGGCCGTCCGCGCCTCGCCGACGAGGAGAGTCAGTAGTATATATTTGTATGTTCTGCGTCCATTTTTACAGGGAAAAAAAAAAAGTTCAAGGGGGAAAGTCTCCCTTACAGTACTTTTGACCACCGCGTAGCCAAAATCTCAAAAACCCTAATGTATGTTCTGCGTCCATTTTTACAGGGAAAAAAAAAAAGTTCAAGGAGGAAAGTCCCCCTTACAGTACTTTTGATCACCGTGTGAGATTTCTTCATTTTCAAGCGGACATTTCTACATGCTCCACCGTGTAACACAAAATCTCAAAAGTGTGATTTCTTAAATATTTTATGTAACCGCATGTAACACACCACCGTGTAACACATCACAGAACTGTGTATAGTTAGTTATATAATTTGTTACACAAACAAAATATTTATATATTTTTTCTTTTAGTTTAGTAGTAAAAATAATTTAAGAAAATATATATTATTTATTAAATATTATTTTATTTACAAATACAATTATATATTAATTTTAAAAAATTATTTACACAAGTTTTCTTACTTCTCTAGTAAAAGGTACATATTCTACAATACGATCATGAATTAATAAACAATAAGCAGTTACACCTGTAAGCGATTCTGATGCTTCAATTTCTAATTGAACATCTACTGCTGAGGCTGTGGCTGAATCGTTCTGCTTCGAAGTATCAATGACTATAATTGGAGCATTTGATAGAAAAGTGGATGGACTCAATATCGGGTTCCGTATATTTTTTTCATAGTACGATTCTTGAAACGATGTATACATATTATATAATAAGGTGAAGTTATTTTTAGTAAAATCTAAATTCAAATTATCGTATGGATAAGCTATCGAGTTCAGAAATACTTTAACGTTTGTTAGATTACAATGATCGAATATACTACAATCTTTTGTTAGCAAATTTTTGCGTCCTTTTTGTAATCCAATTATGATAAATCGTGGTTTTTCTAATTTTGAAGCAGTTTTCAAATTCCATACAACTTTTTTAGTGGTTCCGAGTTCAGGATATTCATAAGTTTCAAAAGATCTAAAAGGGATAAATAGACTTTTTTCTTTTTCTATAAGTTTCAATAATTTTAACCTTTCTTCATCGTCAACCGTTATATGTGGGACCTTCCAGACTATTTTATTTAAGGTGATTTTACCTTCAGTAGCAGTTGCACCACTTTTAACTTGTAAAGCATTTAAATCACTATGACTTCGGGTTAATATTAATTCCAATCTAGAATTCACTAATATTCTTTTATAGTCTTCAAACAATCCTAACCAATATTTCAATGGTATGCAAGCACTAAATTCACCTTTTTCATTTTCCGATTGCGTTGCGTTTTTAAAATTCCAGCCAGCATTTTCATAACAATTGTAGTTATCTGGCGTGCCGGATAAGTAACCTTTCAACGAGCTGGTGATTCCAAGAACACGTGTGCCATCTACTTCTATCCCATTGATTTCCAATCGTATTTGTTCGAAGAGGTAAGAGTAACCGTTATTAGTTAGTTTCACTTTGGTAGCATCAGTAATTGTTCCTTCCAAAAAAATAAAGCTTTCGTGTAGATATGGGTAGACATCCGTTTGCTGGATTGATATACGTATTTCATCATTATTATTAAATGACGTAGTATACGGTGTGTATGAATGATATTCAATTTTCGTAATTTTAGAATCCGTCTCGTACTGTGAAGTTATATCTAAAATATCACTCTCAGGCATTCTGCTTTAATTGATAACCCAGAGCTTGTAAAATTTTTTTATTTTTTACCGTTAATTTTTTTATCTTATTTGATGTTGCTGGTAGCACTTTAGTCTTATGACTAGTTGTGCTGATCCGAAGTAGCGGGTTTATATTGAATTTCAACCCCATCTCAAGACCCGTAACGTTTAATATGTAACACGATTGTCAATGCCTCACCAAAATTATCAATCGGATTATGATCTTGATCAACTAACTGAACGGTTATCGAATCAATATTTGTTTTATTCAATTTGTAATATATTAAATTTGGCGGTGCCTGAATTACTTTCGACCCTGTCTTTCCACTCGGGAAAAACTCATAAATCGAATGACTCTGAAGATGGTTGCTGAATGATCCTTGAGCTATATTACACATTACTTTTATAGAATTAATTGTGTTTAAATTTACAGCTTTTTCCGATCGAAGAATGTTGTATGGATTATATACTCGTTTTTCAAAACCGAATACAGGTGCTATACTAAATGGATATTCAAAGTGTAGTATCCCATTACATTGTATATACGATCTGAAATCATCAGGATCAACCGTAATGTCGAATGTTAAATTGGTTAAGTTTTTACTATTATAGGCAACTATTTGCTTCTTAACTCGATCCTTAATATCTTCAATTTCATAACAACCCTCTTCCAATGTAATAAAACATATCATAGGATTATTATTGTTTTCATTATCAACTACTTGTATAGAATATTTATTATTATTTTCATTAATATTTGGGAATGAATTAAATGACTGTAAACATAACAAAGCTATTTCTGAGTCATCGTAAAGGTTTATAGGTGGAAAATAATTTACAGATAATACAGTTGAATTTCCAGTCAAACTTAATGTAATAGATTCATGCATTGTAAAAATTCAAGACATAAATGACCACAGTTAAATGTATTGAAGTCTTGATAGTTGGAATAGTTATATACTATTTTGAAATGTCTGAAATAATGCTGTAATTCAATTGGTGGGGGTAAATCACCAAAGCTATCAAAATATACAACTTTGTCCTTATTTTTATAAAACGCTACCCAATGGCTTCCATCGCCTGAAGATATATCCAAGTTTAATATACCACATTCAATAGCGTGCGGTTTTTCAGGTAAGTTATCACGTGAAAAGACTCCACGGAAATGATTGATTTTCAACTTTACGGTATATTTTATAATATCTTGAGACGAAAGCGGTCTGTCAGGTAGCGTGATCATCAGTTTTTTTTTCTTAACCTATTCTTGTTTGATTTCATACCACTACCTTTTTTTCTTTTTGAATTTTGAACCGCATTATACACACTAGCACCTCCAGACATCAAACTACCAAGTGCTGACAATCCCGCAAATATAGGTATTAAGGGAATTACACCTCCTGACTGTCTCGGTGCTAAAATCAGTCTTTTACCACCATTCTTTTTCTTTAAGATTCTTTTTTTCTTCGCTGCTAGTATTCCATTTGTTTTTATAGCACTTTTCCGTAGTTTACAACCCATACCTATTTTTCTTTTAGCTTTCATTGCGTTTGTTACTGCGTACGCAACTAATTTCTCTTTTCTAGGAGTATCTTTTGCTTTAAATCTTTCCCAAGCACGATTTTCTAACACTTTATCAGCTTTATGTCTATCGTCTAAATTTTTACTCGCTGCATACACAATATCGTGATCACGACAAGCAGCATCCAATGGGTTTATTCCTTTATCACCACGATCTAGTCTCTTTTTTAATTTCGTGCCAGGACCACAATACTGATATCCTGAAACATGGGCTTCGAACGGGAGACTATTTATAAGGGAGTTTACAAATCCTTTACCAGTCTTGTTTGAATTGTACTTACGAGTTGAACACGCCATCTATAACTGGCTATAAATTTTAAAAATCTTGAGTATTTATAAGAAAATAATATGGATTTGATTGAACAGAAAGATAAATTGGATGTTACAAATGTAGATGTTCAGGTAGTAAAAAAACCATCAAGACACGGCTCGTTATTGCCCGATACTATACGTGCTATACTAGTTGGTCCCAGTGGCTCAGGAAAAACAAATATAATGTATAATCTGATCACACATGCAAACGGGTTAAGATTTGAAAATATTTATTTATACTCGAAAACCTCTAATCAGGAAAAATATGTTTTATTGAAAAAAATAATAGATGATATAAAAGGTGCTAATTTTTTCATATTTACAAGCGCTGATAAGGTTATAAAACCGAACTTAACTAAGAAAAATTCCATTATAATTTTTGATGATGTTATATGTGGTCCGCAATCTGTAATCAGAGATTACTTTAGCATTGGTAGGCATTCAGGTGCTAGCTCTGTATTTTATTTAGCACAAACATATTCTAAAATATCGAAACAGTTAGTAAGAGATAACGCAAACTTTTTAATAATACTGAAACAAGATGATACAAACTTACGACATATATTCAACGATCATTCGTCTGCAGATATGGATTTCACTGAATTTCGGAAAATTTCTCATTTATGCTGGAATCACAGTGATTATGGGTTTATGGTTATCGACAAGACTCGGGAAATGAATGAAGGAAGATATAGATGTAGTTTTCATACATTTATTAAAATTAAATAAGTACTGAAATTAGTTGTTGTTTGATATTGTAAATTATAAGTAAACCTTAATATTATTTAAGAAAATACTTTATATATTTATATTATATATAAATACCGTAACACAGTTATTATCTACATAGTGTGATCAGGAGTCATACGTTACAGTTATATCGAATTTATTATTTAAAATGAACAAAGAAAAAGCTTTGTTAGAAAATTTAATAGAATCGAAAAAAAATATTAAACGAAAAATAATGGAAATGAAACGTGGTATTATAGATTCTGACAACTATTGCCGTGATGTATTTAAACCAATAATCGAACCACTGAGTACACGGAGAGAAAAAAATATCCCATGTAACTCACAACCAGCTGATCAAAAAAATTCTGAAGCCTCGTGTACAAGTGACGAAGATGATGATGAATTAAATTCATCATTTGCAAATTTTTTTAATAAACGACCTACATTAAAACGTTATGATAAATCCTATGGCATGCATTATGATAATGCTAGTGGATCGTACAAAATAGGAGATCACATCGTAACTTTTAGTCATGGTAACTTACAATTGCTTAATAGATACTATCCATGGACTTTAGGACTATGGTCATTATTGTGTGAGAAAGAACCAAAAAATCCAACTATAGAAGATATGGAATCTTATTACGATATTCTGAAAACTTCACGTGTTCATTTAAAAGCAGATGGAAAACCTAAAACCTCAAAGTTTCACAAATGGGCAACTGTTGTAAAACCTTTGTACGAATGAATGAAAAATGAGGAAAAACTGATAAACGAAGAAATAGCTAAAATTAACAACACCAAAACTCCACGATTAAACTTGTCACAATTTAACGATAATTTAGCTAGTCGTAAACGTAGTAAAGTTCATGACAATACAACAATATCAAATGAACCATTTGATTTTAATCCCACAGCAAACAGTTCTATGGTTACAAATCCTACAGTTGAAAATATGTTTAATTTTACTTCATCACCGCACGCTAAGCAAGGTTCTGGCTTATATAAAGATGTAGTATCTCAAACACAATTAGTTTATTATGACGATCCGAATGAGCTAGTAACTAGATTACATCTTTTAACATCATCAAAAAGTGTTGGTAATACAGGTGTTAATAATGAAATTATATCTATTTTAGAAGAACTACGTGAAAGAGATATTATAGTATAATGACAACCTTAGAAGGTCTAGCTAATGAGCTACATCGACCAGCAAGAAAAATATTTCCTAGACGTAATGTGGTAACACGGTTTATTGATGATCTATGGCAAGCTGATTTAATGGATATGCAATCTCATTCTAGACAAAATTATGGTTTTAAGTATATTTTAGTAGTCATAGATACATATAGTAAGTACGTATGGGTTGAGGCACTGAAAAATAAAACATCGAAGGAATGTACAAAAGGTATGTTTAATATATTGAAAAAAGCACATCCGAAGTTGTTACAGACAGATAATGGCACAGAATTTTATAATATTCAATTTCAACATTTAATGAAAAAATATAAAATTAGACATTACAGTTCATACAGTGTTATTAAATGTTCAATTTGTGAACGTGTGATCCAAACTCTGAAAAATAATATATATAAACATTTTACTGCAACAGGTACGTGGAATTGGTATAATACAATATCATAAATTATACAAAATTATAATAATACAAAACATAGAACAATCAAATGTACACCGAATGAAGCTCGAATGGGTACAAGCAATATTAAATTTAATATACAAATAAATTATTCATTATATAAACCAAAATTTAAAGTTAATGACAAAGTAAGAATATCTAAGTATAAACATATATTTAGTAAAGGATATACACCAAATTGGACAACAGAAATATTTACAGTTTCAAAAGTTTTACAGACAAATCCAGTAACTTATCAACTAAAAGATGGATCAGGCAATATCATCTTAGGTGGTTTTTATGAGCAAGAAATTAAATTAACTGATTTCCCAGACACCTTCCTCGTTGAACGTATTATAAAAAAAGTTGGGAATAAAATGCTTGTTAAATGGTTAGGTTTTGATTCAAGTCAAAATTCTTGGATAACTTCATCAGATATTTTAAAATAAAAATTTTTTATGTATAAGTTTTTTTTGTTCACATATTTTTTTAAATAAAGATTTTTTTACGTATTAATTAAATTATTTTGTCAGTTTGTAATGCCCATACGCCAATGTATTTATCCGATCATTCATTATATATCTTTTATCATCATTGGCACTGAGAACAAGCTTGTTCATTGTTTTCGAATGAACAACATGTTTATTCGATTGAATGAAATTCATGTTTCTATGAGATTGTTTTTCCTCAACAGATTTATGGGTTATAAAAGCATTTAATATCTCTATGTAATCAATAAATTTCATATGGTTTTTTATTATATATTTTTTTACACCCTTTGCTTTTTTTTCTACAGTATCATCTATGGTTTTATAAGCGTATAATTTCGGTCTCAATGAAACGAATTCTTTAAGAATTATTGATTTAAGTTCGTCTTTGAACATTCCTGGTTGGCCCTTATGAATTTCACTAAAGCAATAATGGTCTTTAGGATAATTAGATGTGTCAAAATATGGTAATAAATCATTTTTTAAATCATCGAAAAAATTTACTGTTTGAATAGAATATATCAATGAATCTGTATCCGAATATAAAGAACTAATTTGTTTACCATATTTCTTTTTCATTACATTATAATGAAAATCATACATAAAAGTTTTCGAAACGTCTAAAATTGCTGATCCTACATAAATCGCCTTATCGAATTTAATAGTTTCCTTATGTTGATGAATAGCCATAAGATTCTTAGAGTATATAGTTCTATCCTTAAAATTAGTTTTCGCCATTAATTTATTAGCTTTTTTTTCTGACGAAACCAGTTTTATAGAAGTTCTTGTTCGAACATTTTCCATACATTTTCCAAAAACACTATTAATTAAAAGCTTCCAGAATTCTTTTTCAAACTCGTTTTTAGCTTCTGTTCTCATTTTAGTACAGAATTCAATGTACGATGCCATCCATTTCTTTTGAGAAAAGCGGATAGCTCGATGAATTTTTACAAGTTTAAGACCGTGAGAAATCGCTTGTTTTAAATTTTTATAATGAACAATATAGTTTTTTTTCGGTAATAGTGTAGTTAACAATTTCTTAACTTTAGAATTTGGTGGACATTCGTTCAACGGTAAAAACGGGAAATCATTATGAGTCTTATGTAAATGTTTTGGGTAGTCGATATCGACTTCTAATATATACCCAACTTCAGAATCATCAGCAATTTTAGTTACGTCTATGTTTAAGTCATCAACCCATTCAAAATCTTTAAAAGGTAATTCTGTCAACATAGACTTTCCATATAAATTTACACAATCAAGATATGTTATCCATTTAATCGGTTCGATAGAATTATAATTCAATCCTTTGATATTTGGTATGTTTGCTTTAGCAAACCTTTTAGTCGATTGAGTTATCCCACCACGAATTGAATTCTCTATAAACAAAAGCATATTAGGGCATTTTAACCTTTCTAATTCGATCTTTGTATATTTAAGCATACAATCATACGCAAATCCTGGAGCAGTCATATAATGAGCAGGATCTAACTCAAGACTAGATAAACATAAGTCTCTGAAATTTTCAAACACGTCAGCTAGTATAGCAACATCAGTTTTTAAATAATGATCGCTATATTCACCTAATGTCTTTATATTAAAAATGTTCCATACATTTTTCGCATGAACATAATCATCATCAGTAATATTTTCATCGGATAAAGAGCTATAAAAATCAAGCTTTGAAGGTAAAAAAGGTTCATCTAGTTTACTCCAACTATCAACATATTCATACGGGAAGACTCCTTTTGAGTAACTAGATCTAATACTTTAATAGAAAATACTTTAATAGTTTCTCTAAACTTCAATTTATCTTCGGATAAATTTTTTGCTAGTTTACTTAATTTTTCAGCCATAAAACGGTATGTATCAACAAACTTAATGTTAAATTTTGGTGCGATTTCTTTACTGAATGATATATATTTTTCAGATGAATTAGGTATAACATGAATATCTTTATCGTTACACCCAAGTTCTCGAATTATAAAGTGACTGTCATATGTCAGATTATGAAAGAAGATTGGTACAAATGATGGACTAGTTAGCTGAAAATTACATTTAACACAAATACATCGTCTGTAATTTCCAGTTATATGACAGTGATCTTGAACTTTTAACAGATTATTATCTTTAAAAGGTATTAAACATTTTTCACAAACCTTAGCCTTCAGAAAATGTTTTTCTTCTTTTAAAGTTAATTTGTTAATTGGTAAATTAGTTTTATAAATATCATTAATTTTATTTCCTATACTAATCATACTATTCATAAATTTTTTTGCTGCATTTTTACCTCTATATATTACTACTTTTCTAGGAATTTCAAACTTTTTTATTAATTTTTTTGGTATAATATTATAGTCGACTTTTACATAAAACCCGTAACTCATAAGTTTATGTAAATGTGTAATACAAGTTTTTGGTTTTTTACTACTTTGAATGAATTTATCAGGTTGTTTAGGGTTTAAAATACATTCAAAGTCAGCGTATATAACAATCGGGATTCGTTGAGTATTTTTATAGTTTTTGAAATATATGAAATCGTCATCTCCTTCTTCGAACATAATAGGTCTTCCTAATTTATTTTTAATACACATTTCTTTATGTCTAATTAATCCTGTTTCACCCCAAAGTTTGCTTTTACACGGTTTATTTCCAAAACTTGTAAAACATCGCTTACATATAATCAACTTTGAACAATTTTTAGTCCTTTGACTTCTAATAAATCTTGAGAAGTTGTTAATATAACAATAGTGAGATGTATTATTATTATCAAATAGAAATAGGTCGAAATGATTTTTTTTTTCAATATTGGTTATATGTAATGGGAAAATTAAATTTTTATTATCTAAGCTGTAAATATTAATTGATACATTGTTTATTTTTTCAAATTTTTTTATCTGAGTTATAGGTGTTGGAAAATCAATACATTTAAAATTAAGCCCACTTTTTGTTTCTAACATATCAAAATATTTTTTGTTAAACTTAGATTTATTCAATCGATTATTGTACTTAGTTAGTATTGAATACTTGAAACATTCGTTATCGTTATTTTTTATGTTTATAACTGCTTTTTTTTTTATATGGTTTGGTAAATCTAAATATGTACTTCCTCCTTTAAGAGGATTAACTTTATTAATTCGTAATTGTAAACAATCTATAGATTTTAGTGACCAACCTGATTTTTTTGATATAAACTGTGCTTCCTCAGATAATAATTTGTTAAACATTTTGTTTAATAAACTATTAAAATCGGATGATTTATATGCTAATACGTTTGAAGTTTTAAACGACATATCTTGTACTTCACCCGTTAACAGTTGTTCATACGTGCTATCAACATGTAAATTAAATTTAATTGTTGACTGCTGGCTTGATTGTGTTAACCTAGAAATTAACATTTCAGAAACATAACTAAAAAATACATGGTAGTCTATTATTTCTTCCTTATTCTTAACAATATACGTTCTCGAACAGCTTTTAAATCGTTCAATTTCAACAAGTCCGCCCTCAGCTGATTCCATCCGTCTACGTTTAGTGATTGTATTTCTTTTCATTATGTAACTGTAAATAAATTTTAAAAAAATAATAATAATAATAATAATATTATTTATTAATACATATTAGTCTTAAATCTTAATCTATATTCAAACATTCTAATTTGGTATATAGAGAATGTATAGAATTTCTTATTCTTTGTCTACATTTATAATATTCATATTGCGAATCTTTGTATTCTAGTTTGAGTTTTTTTTTTCATATTTTAGTTTTTTAATTTTTTGGTTAATTGTTTTAATTTTGTTTTTATACAAATTTTCATCTTCATCTTCTTCGTCAAACGTCGTTTCCAATTGCTCATAACTTTCTTCTATTTTTCGTTTGAGGTACTTTTCCTTTGCAACAGATTCCATTTTTATTAATTTTATTTTGTAACTGTAAATGTTAATATTTATTTATTAATCAATATATTTAATAAAATAAAATAAAACATTGGAATATCTCTTATTTTATTTTACTACTGTTTATTCACAATTTTGGTATAGGTATATA